CAGTAGACCGCAGAATTTTCTACTTCCCTTCCTGAAAGCAATTGCCCCACTTCTTGCGCTTCCGGCTTTGTCTGCTACCACTCTCAGGGCATCAGTACATCCTGTGCTCTTCAAGCTTTCTGTAAACGCATGGGGTCAAGGATAACACATGGATGGCAGTGAATCGCCAAGGTGTGCTCCTGGGAATCACTGGTGTTATCATAAACACACTGCGGCTCAGAGAGTAAAAGGTCTGTTTATACCCTGCTTATTGGACGAAACTTGGGCTTGTTCTTGTTAAGGAAGACGTTGGAAAATGTCAAAATGCCTCTTGGGAAATTGATCACATGGCTCAGCTAGAAGAGCAAATGATAAGTCACACACAGAGAAATCTTCTCTTAGACAGTGGCATATATGTCACCAAGGATAGTCATGGATATAGCACAACAAAAACTTGCCAGCTTACATGTAGTGGCTTAAATAATAATGACCCCCAATAGGCTCATAGATTTGAATTTGATAGGGTTTAGGAGGTGTGGCCTTGTTGGAGAATGTGTATGGTTTTGGAGGAAGGGTGTCACTGCAGGTGGGCTTTGGGGTTTCAAGTGCTCAAGTCAGGCCCAGTGTTTCTCTAACTCTTCCTGTTGTCTGTAGATCCAGATGCAAAAATCTCAGCTACCTCTTAAGAACCACATCTGCCTGTGTGCTGCCATATTTCCCACCATGATAAAAGTGGACTAAACCTCTGAAGCTGTAAGCCAGTCCCAATTAAATGCTTTTCTTTATGAGAGTTGGCACGGTCATAGTGTCTCTTCACAAAAATTGAACAATGACTAAGACAACTTACTTAAAGTGTTACAGTTTAATGATTGATTGATTGTGACTCAGTTATGTGGCTCTCTAGTATAGATTTTGTAGACTGCAAAGGAATCAAGTCAGAATGTCAAAAGGATACATCTCTGGCCATACATTATTGTTTATAATTTCTTTTAAACATGTTTTAGATAGACAGGGTTCGAGAAAAAACTTCTGGGCCAAATCTTCATCTCCATCTGCTTTTATAAATACATTTTACTTTGGATTGAGTTTTGTGTATTGAAAACACACTCTACCACTGAGCCAAATCCCGGCCTACATTTATTAAATAAGCTCCCTTACAGCATAATCATGCTTATTCATGTATCTTCTATAACTGCTTTTGCAATTCAAGGACAAAACTGAAAAATTGGAACAGAAATTCTATGACCTGTCAGTCAAAAGTATTCGGTATATGACCGTTAGCGTGCTGACATCTGGAATGCATCTGATGGTATAAGAGCAACTCAGTGGAAGTCTCTTGCTCTAACAGAAATACTCATTTGGAGTCAGTATTCCAACAGATGGAAGCATGCCAGAGGACGGTCTGCCCTTTCTTAGTAAGGAATAGAATCTAGTGAGTTCTACAGGCTGTGTCTATGGGAGGGGCATCCCAGGCCTCACTCCTCGACAGGCCTGGCTCTGAGTCCTGATCTGAGGTCTCTTGGGCTCTCAATCTGTCTAGTCAGCCAAATCCTAGTGCTAGACGGCTGCTGCACTTGCTTATAATGACTGGCATTCATGGAGCTTTCATTAAAGGACAGCACAGGGACTTCACTGAACTTCAAGAATAATCACATGACCCCTCCATGCTTCCTAGATCCATGGAGTGGTAGAAGTCAGTCTAGACTGGCTTTAGTTAGTACTTGCTGAGGAAGAACTTAATGGGAGATTATTGAGTTTTCTCTGGATCTCATTGGTGTAGCTTGCTACACCGGAAGCTTGCTAAGAAGACAGTCACGTTTGTCTCTATCTCCAGGAAACAGCTATCATCACCAGGAAGCTCTAACCCCGAGCACCCACCTGTACCCACCTTGTACCATGACAATGTACAGACCCCACCCCTCCCATTCCATGAACAGAAGCAGAAAGCCCAAAGGACAAGAATGTGGTCTGGAGTTGGAAGGTTGACACTTGGACCCATGTGTAACTTTGGGCAAACTCAAGAGAGTACAAGGCAGATGCACCAACAAACGAATGAGGGAGAGCTGTCGCCTGGCAGAAGAGAATCGGCAAAGGATAACAAGAGGGTAAGTTTAAATAACACAGTATCAGTCTGTTCCAGGACACATGTTGTGGTAGTAACAGAATAATAGAAATATATTATTTGTGATATTCAATAAATTATTATCAACTATGGAAAAAATTAATCCCATCTTTATGTTATCACATAAACTTATCAGTTTTAGGGCTATTCCAGAACTGGAAATCTACCATCAAGGACCTAAAATTAAACATAGCTCAACTGATCCTGAGTGACCAAGGCAGGGACAATGTCTTCCGTATCAAACAGACTACACCATTTAAGTGCAAGGAGCAAGCTAACAACTCCTTACCGACCTACAGATGCTTCCAACTCACAGTTACTTAGTGACCTGCAGCCGCCTGCCAACTCACAGCCGCCTACCAACTCACAGCCGTCTAACATCAACTCAAATTTACTTACCGACTCAGAAGCTTCTTCTGTAGGCTTTGGGGTGGATGTGTCGAGCTCTTGGCCTGACGACCCAAATCCAGACTGAAGGGATGATGATCCAAATACTTGAATGAGATAGGAATCAAAATCCTCACAAATTTTTTTAGACAATTTTTGCTTCAGAGTATCTTTTTAAACAGAAGCAGAAAGGGGATTAGTGGAAACAGTGAAACTTCTCTCAATCAATCTTAAAGAGATCAACACTGTCCTTAAGCAAGATCCCTCCCATTGTTTGAAAGCAACAGTTAACTACAGTAGGAAACATTTATATTATCTGTAAAAGATTAGATCAAATATCTCTATTTAATAATACACACTAGCACAGAAGGCATATATATCATCAATACCCTTTTATCCAAAGTGCCAGTTCACTGAGTTAATCTGTGGACAGGACTAGCCTCCTAATACTATGTAAAATAGGCAATTGCATCCTGTTTTAGGGCTAACAAAAGGCCAATTAGTCCTAAAATGTATTCTTTATTACTGCAACAATTTAAAAACCCTCTCAGATAAGATGATAAAGCCTTAATTCAAATTGGTAAAATATAACCATTTTCTCAAATGTGCAATACTTTCAATCATTCTAACATAGAAATAGCCCAGTGAAACTGAGTACATCAGATGAACCTATCAGCCAATAGAAAAAGATACTTAGTTTAAAAAAAAAAAAAAAAGAATGCCAATCAGGTTAACATAGTGACGTACTTCCAAAGGTTATTCTTTCAGATAAATGGCTAGCATAAAGCAAGCAACTAGAACATTCGCTCCAATCCTTGTTGCTTACAGTTCTCATCCTTTTAGACTTCCATAACTTTATCATCAAGTTTTCTTTATTTATTTTCAATTCCAGTTTTGTTTTTTCTGCTTTGCTTGATGCTTGCTACATACCTTATTCTAGTTAAGAAACTTTGAACAGTAACCAATAGTCACAGTATAAAAAAGGTCCCATCTTCCTCTTCCTGTCACTGCCACGGAAACTCCAGCTGAACGTCCCAACTGAGCATTCGCTGAACATGCATAGATACAGGATTGTGCCCTCTACACTCAGGTCATAACACTTAGTCTTTTGCCTTCTGTAGTTTATAGGTTACAGTGTTAAGCTGACATAATCCTCTTTAACTTCCTGGTTTCTGGCTTTTGTCAGAATAACCTAGTGGTGTGACTCTGCAAAGAACAGCATACATTCCTTTCCACTGGGGTGGCCTCCTTACCTTGCAGGGTAAAGAAGTCATCGAACTGATAAACATGTTCTGCGTCGGTTGCAATGAGATTCATTTCCTGGTGAAAAATTTCAAAGTTGGGATCATCTTTCTTCACCACCCCAATCACAAATATCTCCACGTCAGAGTCCTTGGCATCCTTCACCACCTCTGCCAGCTTCTTTTTATCTCGGGAATCTGTCTGTCCGTCAGTGATCACCAAGGCCACCTTCTTTACTCCTGGCCTTGCCTCTTTGAACATATCGTTGGCTGTTTGAAGAGCACTGGCCGTGTAGGTGCCTTCCCCCAGGTATTGCATGTTGTCCACCTCCAGCTTGAAGTCATCCTTACTGGAGAACTGTTTCAGGCCAGCCACTCTCTCCACCTTGTGGCTGTAGTTGATGATGCCTATCCGGGCTGTGGCAAGGTCCAGGGCTACCCGGTCAGCCAGGGTCTTCACAAAATTTTGGATGATCTGAAAGTTCTCTGGCCCCACACTTTCTGAACTGTCAATCACAAACACCAACTCCAGTGGAGTCTCTTCGCATTTGGGCCCACAACCTAAAAGATGAAGACAGAAATAGAAATGTTGCAGAAATGAAAAACAAACCATCACAGATTATCATCACCATTATAGGAGAATGGAAAGATGCGTGGAAATGAACCAAAGACCTCAACTGTGGTCTTCCTTTCCTGTTGCGGTGGGAAAAGCTCATAACTCTCTCCTCTTTGGATGCTGTGCATCCAAAAGATTCTTTTTTTAAAAAAAATATGTATTGAGGGGGGCTGTTTTGTAGAAAGTTCCTCCAAATTGAAATACTCTAACCTGGCCAAGAGTTCCTTAAGATGAAGGAAGTTCTAGAAGGAGGAAATCAACAACTCACAAGTCTTAGAAAGTCTCTGAAACTTACCAGATTCATACAGAAGCAGAAAGAGCTGCTGAAGAGAAGCAACCCTCTAGTCTTTTAAGTTGCCTACCAGTCACATAGAGAATTCTAGAACTAGAGTTCTAATTTCTTAAGGCAGGCACTCATGCTAGGGTTGCCTTCTGGTAATGCTGGTGCAGTTTGCATTTAAGCTACAGCCCAAAGCTGCGATTTTAACCTTCAGCCATATCTTTAAGTGAAACTAGAGAGTGGTTCGTGGGTATGCGGGATGGATGAAGGGAAAGGAGGGAAATGCTGACTGGGGGTAGGTTAGGACTCTGAAGCTGACACATAGCAGCTGCTCTGGGCAGTGGCTCCACACCCACTGAGAGGATTATTACAGCTCCACACTACCACAGAAACCAGCACTCCATCTGCGCCACAAACTCTGACAAGAGGGATTCCAGAAAATACTGGTCAATATGCAACCATTCAGAGCTGGGGTCCCCCAAAATCGAATCCAGAAGCCATGTCTAAATTGTCCTATTACCTATCCGGCCTCAAGCCACTTCTCAGGAGATAAAGAAGTGCTGGGGCTCAGTGCTATCTTGCCTCTGTCCACTTCAGACACAGAAGTCATCATTACCCCTTTGTCTTCTTTAGCTAATGGTTTTCATTATTCCCTCTCTCTGACAACTCGGAGTCTCGAGTGTTCAGTCATGGGGGAGTTTAGATTTCTTCGTGAAATAAGGTGAAGCCTGGCTGTCTCCCTGTTTGTGAGATAGAACACAGTTGCAGCAATCACAATGAAGCTCACTTTGAAAAGTCATCCTAGCTGAGGGAAAAGCATGGGATGGTTATTAGCTAGTCTCCAGGTGCATGTTGGGCTTTTGCAACCAAATTTCCATTGTGTGGCTTTTTTCCTAAGGCTCAGGTAAATCACTGACTATTGATGAACACAATACTTACAAGGGCTCTGCAACCCACACTCTGGAGCTTCCCACTCTCCAGACAGCCTTAGGGAAACAAGAAAACAATTGCCTTTCCGGGTTCCTACAGCCCTCCACAATGTCACTGCTCCATTTTCCCATTTTCCACCTACTTTTCAGATGACTCTCTCATTTCCCCACCAGCTATATACATGTGTCTTTTGGGTGGTCGCATTAGCTCTGCAACACAGCACATGATAGGGCTGACACTGTACAATGCAGCACATGATAGGGCTGACACTGTACAACACAGCACATGATAGGGCTGACACTATACAACACAGCACATGATAGAGCTGACACTGTACAACACAGCACATGATAGGGCTGACACTGTATAACACAGCACATAGTAGGGCTGACACTGTAACAGCACACAGTAGGAATGACACTGTACAACACAGCACATAGTAGGGATGACACAGCAACACAGCACACAGTAGGGCTGACAGTATACAACACAGCACACAGTAGGGCTGACATTGCAACACAGAATACAGTAGGGCTGACACTGTGCAACACAGCACATGGTAGGGCTGACACCGCACAACACAGCACACAGTAGGGCTGACATTGCACAACATAGCACATAGTAGGGCTGACACTGTGCAGGACGTTTCACTTTCTTGATAATTAAATCTTACCACATATTTCAATAATAAGTTTGATAATTTCTTCTTTCTGAGGAGAAAGGAAAATGTATTAACATTAAGTTTATGACTGGAGTATATTTCCTATCATCCCAAGAGATTTGTCTCATAATCAGCGTTGGACGATTTGATTCACTCCTTCCTTGGAGAAAATTAAACAAATAGCACAAAAGTTGGAAGTTGGATACAATGTGTCATAGCCAAAAAGAGGCTGAATTCTGAAACTTAACAGTTCAGAGTTTTAGATATTAAATCGCAACTCCAGTACACATAGCTGTGGGTGTTGTAATCTGTTGGCCTGGTCTGCCACATGGGTACCCTGTCCCTTTAAGAGGCCAGCTCTGCCCACTCCCAACCTCCCCCATTCTGCAAAGGCAAGCAGATCTCCCACCTCCTCTCCAGTCCCCCCTCTCTCTCCACCCCCTTCTGCAAAGGCAACTTCTCCCTCCTTTCCCCCCTCCCACTCCATAACCCACTAAATAAACTCTATACCCCAGCTCAATCTGCATGGTGTATCTGTCTGTCTCCCTCAGGGCCTCAGGCCACACGCCAGGGACCCACTGAGGCCTCTGGTGACCCCTGCTACCCCTCGTGGGACCAGCCTCAGGTCACACATATTTATAAAATATAACAGTGGGACCCGGACCTGGGCTGTCAGATGACGGAAGGGTTTCTGGGTCTTGGCTACAGAGCAGGAGAAAAGTAGAAAAAAAAATAGTTGAAGGGGTTATTTTCACTAGAAATATCTTACGTGCTGTCCGTGCTCAGTAAACAACCTCCCTACATGCCCATGTAAACACGCTTAATTAAATTCAGTCACACACACTGCACACATGCATTCACACACACACACACAACACGAAACTTTGAGGGGGAACTTCTTAGGAAAGAGGGATCAGCTGAGTAAGGAGGGGTTAAAGAGAGTAAAGGGCTGGAAATTGCTGTAGCCACTATAGGAAGCTGCTAAGGTTGAGTAAATTTACAACAAAGCAAAACAAAAACAATAACAACAGAAACACCCTTTGTCCAAGAGATAGTCTCTCTTGCCCTGACTATTACTACATATCATTTTATCTTCTCTGGACAACCACACCCCACTTAATCATCTTTTAGCAAATATTCATCACATGGTAGATGACGTGTTCTTGTCTCTTTCTCCCACATTCAGAGACATAACCGAGGTCTCTCATTTCCCACAGTCTCCTATTTTCATAGTGCGTTTCCGTAAGTCTGACCACAGTTCATACCCCAGGAATGTTGGTGACATGGATATGGAAATGAAGGAAATCAGTCCTGCTCCAGCCCCGTGGTGGGACGAGCAGGCAGATATCAGGCTATGGGAAGCTCCTTCCGTCATTTACACGGACTCTCGTCTTTGCTACTGTCAACAGCTAACTGTTGCTCACATGACTCCTCTCACTGTCGACGGCTTTGGGGATCTGACCGGTGGCGGGGGACAGCAGAAAAGAAGCCGCTGTCAGGACCAGACAGTCTCCCTTCCTTTCACCCCCAGATTTTCCTGCCACTGTGCATGGGATCAGCATCGCCAGCTGATTACTGAAGGAAAAAGAACGGAAGATCTCCTTCCTTTTCGAATCCTTGGGAGATGAAGTACTTTCTAATCTGAAAGGAAGATTCATCTGCATTTGCTATAAAAACTCTAGAACCTTCCCGCCTATTAGAATTTAAAGAATCATCTTTTTGTGGTGGTTGTTTTTAATAGTGGGAGAAAATGAGTAGAAGATTCCAGAAACTTTTCTAACTCTGGCTTTGAGATGACTAGCCTCACAGCACTTCCTTGAGGAACTAGCTCAAGCAAAAAGAGCCCTTGCCCTGGAGTGAGAAAAGCCACATCAAATAAACGCCCATGTGGCCTCTGGACTTATTTTAAGCAGATCACTCCCGCATTGCCAACAATAGCAACTTTATCATTTCTTCCAGAAGCCAGAAGGGAGCGTCCCTCTGCGCTCACATGCAGCTGTGCCTGGCTTCCTGTGTGATTTCTCCATCCATCCAGATAAAATGACCTGGCCTGGCAGCAGACACCATCATTAAACAGAACAAACCAACGTCCACAGCGTCCATAATTCTAGGGCTACAACATGAAGACAGCACTTCTGCAGACATGAACCCCTCAATTACCCTCTGAGATAGATACTCACCGTAAGTCCCGGGTCTCCTTTTGGTCCTTGTAAACCCTACTTAGTGGGAAGAAAAAAGTAACATTCAGGATACATTAGACCCAGTTGAGAGTATAAAGCCATAGTAAAGCTTGAAAAAACATATCTTGCCTGTTTTCCTGGTGATCCGGGTTCTCCAATTTCTCCTTTTTCACCTTTCTTTCCCACATCACCTCGTTCTCCATGATCTCCCTGTATAACATGGTTAAAAGTCAAACTTAAGTCATGAACATTAAAGCCAAATAAGAAAAATAAAACCTACGGTTTGATTTGTTGCAACTAAAATCCCCTTAAAGGCTTGGAGTACTTACTGACATAAATACACATAAGGAAAAAGTTCATTTACACCTAAGAGGAATTAACCTCTTAATCAGATGAGACACCTGATCAGCTCATGGCCGTCAAGAAACTCAAGTGTCGCATAACTTACCAGCTTCCTGAGACTTCTGTGTTTACCACATTTGTGTCATAAGGATTTGTTCTTTTACTGACTGCCTCTGATGAATGAGGAAAATGCTGCAGCGTTTGGAGTCTACCACAGATGGCACTTTTAGTGTGGTAAGAGGGGCAGGAAGCATGAGATCGCTGTCACAATCAGGACTAAGCAATTAGGACCTGTGTCTAAGCATTTCCATAAAATTCTGATTCACTTACCTTCTGGCCAGGAAGGCCATGGCCCACTGTACCCTTTGGCCCTGGAAAACCTTGAGGTCCTTGCTCCCCCTATGTAAGATATAAGAAAGAGGTGTTCTTATTAATTCCCCAAAGTAACTCAGAATATTTAGGGTGTTAGAAACTCACTCTCAGCTTCCGTACTACATCATAGCATTGCCTAATTTTGAGGGAGGTTATAAAAATATAAATATAGACACAGATATATAGAGGGAGATAGGCTTCTTAATTTGTTATCATTCCTGTGATATAGACAACTCTATCTTGACTATTCTGAAGGTATGGGCTAATATTTCAGTTTATTTTTGTATTTTTCTATATTTATAATATGCTAAAAGCATGTATTAATAATGAGGAGAAAAAAAACATTTTACTCCAATCAAGGGTAAGGAGCTGTTTATATAATTGAGTATAACCTGTTAGCTCCATCTTTGATTGTTTATAGCAGCAGGAAGGACTTGATTTTGGTTCTTCCCCATACGTCTTAATTCCCTCTTTTGCCCAAGATATAGAAGGGCAAAACCAACATCACAGTATAGAATACAAAATAGAAATAATCACTAATAAATCACAAAGTCACAGTAACTACACCATGGTATAGAATATGAAACAGAAATAATCACTAATAAATCACAAAGTCACAGTAACTACGTTGCTAAGAAATGTATTCTAAATCTTTGCTTAAATCTGCATCCATTGGTGATCAGTTTCTGGGAAAGTAGAAAGACAGTGAACAGACAGGGCCATCTTAGTCATCCCCCCACCACACGTCATGCTCTCAGAAGTACCCTAACTAACCCCAGGGGAATGTGGGTGGCATAATAAAAAGTCTAACCGTAGCCCCAACCTCACACTCGCTTGAAGAGACTCAAGGGTGAAAGGAGAGATAAAGGTCTGCTTTGCAATGAGTCAGTTTCTCACAGTACAGTGGGACTGAGCTCTGAGTTCCTTTATGTCTGAGTAGATCACAAGTGTAGAGTCAAGAGTATACTCTTGACTCCTAAATTCAAGATGCAAAGCAAGTTGCTAAGAATGGCCAAGTCTGAGAACTTGTTCCCTGAATGTCTTTGCACCTTGGTGTCCTCGAGCCAAGCCTAACGCTGTGACAGTGAGGCCAACATGTAGGAATGCCTATGTAGCAGTGCAAACACTGGACACACCTAGGATGACTCACCTTTGAGAAGCTGTTGCCCTCTTTCAACTTAGCAGAAGTTATTGACATTGTTTATTCAGTTTACAATCGAGAGCAATTCTCTTTTCTTGTTAGGAAATCTGGAAATATTGAGAGGCTCAGAATTCTGCATGGAAACTAATACCAGCTTTGTGTGGGACAATAATTGTACACCCTTGAAAGATTTGTCAGTTATATTACTTTAATAAAATGCTGATTGGCCAGTAGCCAGGCAGGAAGTATAGGCGGGGTGACCAGGCAGGAAGTATAGGCAGGGCAACCAGGAGAATTCTGGAAAGAGGAAAGGCAGTCTGCAGTCATCATTTAGACACAGAGGAAGCAAGATGAGAACACCTCGCTGATAAAAGGTACCAAGCCACGTGGCTAACATGGGCTAATGTAGGATGTAAGAGTTAATAAGAAGCCTGAGCTAATTGGCCAACCAGTTCATAATTAATGTAGACCTCTGTGTGTTTCTTTGGAACTGAATGGCAGGACAGAAACTACTGCCAACACCACCTAAATAACGTATCATGTGTCATGATAAAGAATAGGAAGGAATGTGGCAGAAAACAGGCTCCAGCGGGTGTGGTTCCCAGCCTCATCTAGAGTTTAGAAGGGTCTGCCTAGCTATGGTCCTGATGCCACTCTGAGGAGACAACTGCCTGAAATTCTACTACCCTTTGCTTTAATTATAAAGAAAACAATCCACACATTTCATCTATAGTCTTAAGAAAGTGATCTCAGGAAAGGTCACAGTGTGAGTTTGCTTCCTCTGATGTTTTGTGGACATGAATGAGAGCATCTTCATTCAATGAGATACGCAGTAAAGAGGAGACTGGGATCTTTGCTGAGGGGTCCAGAAGACTCCTGGTCACAGACAACAAAGACAAAAGGCTCGTGGCAGAACATTCTAAGGAACCAAAGGAGGACAGAAGTAAACAGCACTGTGACACTAAGATGTGGTGAGGAACCATCACTGCCAAGTCTGTACTTAGAGGGGCCTGGAAGGAGGAGTCCCATACCTTTCTATCCGTTATGCACAATGGTTGTTTCCTAGGCAATATTTCACATCTCCGCAGCAGATGTTACAAAAGATGCCCATAAAGGTTTATGAATAACTGTCTTTAAGAAATGATGCAAGTTCCCAACAAAGTGAAAAGCCATATTCTGAGGGGAAATTGCTGAGAAGGCAACTATCACAGGGAAACTAATGCCCAGGAGCCTACACTACAATGCTTTCTAATGCAAACATTTTATTTACAGTATTAATGAAGGAAGCTGGGTCTCTGTATCATAAAGATTTTCTTCCTTTGTAACCATTAGTTTTCCTTCAAAACCCTGGAGGATTTCTTAAAACTTTTAAAGTAGATCACCTGGATAAAAGCCTTTATTAGAAAAGCCTTGCTTAGTTTAGCAGAGGCAAACGTGCCTCGATCAGATTTCCTTCTCTGACTCAGGAAAGTGGTAAACAATGAGTTCCCTGTAGATCAGACAAAATGTAGGAAAGGTTGGATCTACCATAAAATACAATTAAATTAACCTTTCAAACTTAACTTCTCACCCACTGCATCATCGTATTCTAAGTATGGCCTGCTAAAAGTGGAAGAGATTTAGCTTTCAAATAATTCATTATTTTATAGAAAATAAATTTACAAGAGTATAAGTAAGAAATAATTTTTATCCTTTCTACATCTTTTCTTGGGCACAGGAAGAACAAATCAAATTTATAGATACTCAAAAAAAAAAGCACAAAATGGACTTCTGGCTCCTACTCAGAGTATGGAAACATGAAAACTAAGTCATTCTTAAAACAACTATATATAAAATGTTTCATTAGGAAACATTTCAGGGTAGACTCCTGGACACTCAGTCGCCCCTGTGATAGCTGCCTTCTCAGTGATTTTTCCAAGGATATGGCTTCTCACTTTGTAGGGAAATTATATCACATCTAAAGACAGTTAGTCATAAGCCTTTATGGACCACCTTTTGTAATATCTGTTGCAGAAATCTTAAATGCCATCTAAAAAACAATTGGTCTACATAATTGTTAGAAAGGCATGGAACTGCTCCCAGACCCTCTATATAAATGAAGTCGCAATTCTTTCGTAGTCTTTCATGGACCTCTAGTTGTGGGACAACAACTCTGCTCAATATCTTAGGTAACACTGGATCCCTAAGCAGAGCCAGGACCTCAGCACACCCTTCCCTGATGGAAATACCAGACGTTATGTGTAATCTGGCAGGTAGGGTTCAGATAAACCAATCTAACAGCCAATGTGGTAGCTGTAAGAAGATAGATTGCTGGAGCTCCAGGCAGAAGCAAGGGTCACACCTACCCCAGGCTGGGTCTCCAGGTAGAAGGGGGATCACACCTACCCCAGGTTGGGGCTCCAGGCAGAAGTTGGGGGGGTCATACCTACCCCAGGCTGGGGGCTCCAGGCAGAAGGAGACTCATACCTACCCCAGGCTGGGGCTCCAGGTAGAAGGGGGGATCACACCTACCCCAGGCTGCTCTTCTGAGACCCACCAGAGCTCAGAAGAAAGACATGCAAACAGGAAGGCTGGGCAGTATTGACGGGTGGGAGGCTGGAAAGCTCCCTGTGATACAGGCCTAGGAGCAAACCATAGCTACTGCCACATTCTGTCCAACATGCTATAAAAAACCACTATGGGATAGCAGGCTCACACATGGGGAAATCTATTTCTCACTGTTCTGGAGACTGGGAAGTCCAAGATCCAGACAGGGGAGGAGGCATTGTCTGGTGAGGGCCATGTTCTGGTTCACAGATGGTATCTTCTTGCTGCGTCTTCACATGCCTGAAGGTGCAAAGCCACTCTCTGGACCTACTCTGAGTACACTAGTTCATTTGTGAGAGCCCTGACCTCATTACTTAATCCCCAAGGTCGTGTCTTCCAATAGCATCACCTTGAGAGTGAGGCTATCAGCATAGGGACTGGGAGTGGACAGAAATGTGCAAATCCTAATACCCAGGGAAAGACATGGCCCTCCCTATGGGAAAAAGGTTGTCTCAGGAAAAGGCAACATCCTTGCCTTTCCCACATAGATGATGGCTCATGGCAGCTGGGGAAAGGAAAACAGCAAGGAATCCTAGAGCCAGCATTAAAGCTGCCCTATTGCTTGAGGCCAGGAACGCATGTTCAGCTCAGGACAGCAGGAGCTGGCTGTGAATAAAACTGGTATGAATTTTACTGCATATAAATAATTCTCCACTAAACAATGAGAATAAAAGTCCTTTAATAAGTTGAAAGAATTGGACCCAGAGAACCGGTTGGGTAAAAGCTCCTGTGGCTCTTACAAAGGATGCTGGTTTGATTCCCAGCACCTACATGGTGAACACAACCATCTGTAACTCCCATTCTGATGATTCATAGCCCTCTTCTCTGCAGGAACCAGGCACACACATGGTATACATGCAGAAAAACACCCATAAACATAATATTTAATTAAAAAGAATTGAACACTCAACAAAATCCTAATTATATATGTAGGTTAAACTGTATATCAATGTTAATTTTCTGATATTTACCATTGTGCTATATTGCTTAAGAGAATGTGCTTGTTTATAAAAATACAGAAGTATTTAAGAGGAAAAAGTAAAAATATCATATCTCTAGTATACTATCAAATGTTCATAAAAACAACATGATTATGTGTATACACAGGCAACGCATACTTTGATTTTTTTCAAATTTGGTGAGAGTAACATTTAGCAACTCTAAATAAAGGGCCTATAAGAATTCTTTATGCTATACTTGCAGCTTGCTTAAATGCGAAGCTATTTCAAAATGAAGATTAGAGATCAATATCTGAAACGAATGAGTGACAGAATAAACAAACACACAACGATGTCATTCG